GCCAATGTTGGCAAGACTGCAGGGGAAAAGGAACTCTAGTACATTTTTGGTGGGAACCTAAACAATGGAAATCAGTATGGAGCTTCACCAAAAAACTAACACTAGACATTCTATTCAAACCATCCTCTACCAGGCATTTTCCCAAAAGAATTAAAGATACCGTATTACAGTGACACATGTATACCTGTGTTTATAGGAGTAGCAGCATGGCTCATTATAGCTAAATCTTGAAAATGACCTATATATTTATCAACAGGTGAATAGATAAAGAAAATGTGGTATTTATTATACACAATGCAGTACTACTCTGACATAAACGGGTCATTTGTAGGAAAATGGATGCACCTTGAGACCATAATGGTTAAATTTTTAAGATTAAGTTTATTGGTATATTTTAGGTATACATAATGATTACATTTATTTTAGGGAATTTGTACCTATAACTTTCCCCCCATTCCTCTCCCTGCCTTTTAACCCCACTTTCTCTTTCTATTTACAAAAGCTTTGGTTCCATTTTTTGCTTCTTTTTTGCATCACTTTTTCTTCTTTCCTTCCTTCCTTCCTTTCCCCTCCCCCTCTCCTCATTTGACCATTTTCTCCTTCTCATTTGGCCATTTTGCCATTTTCTTCCTGTTTCACAACATCTATTATACATTTTGGTCCTTATTTACACTTGTGGTTTCTCACAACAGAGAATGTGGTATTTACATGTGTCTGATTTATTTCACTTAAGAGTATGGCCTTAAGGTGCAATCATTTACCTAGAAATGTCCCTAGCTTATCCACAAGTTAAATATTACATGCTTTCTCTTACATGAGAAACCCAAACTATAAATAATTTAAAGAAAAAATAAAGGATAGATAATAGAAATGGAGATATCCTTTGTAAGCAGGAAGGGACCAGGAGACAAGTGGGCAAGAGCAAGAGAAGTAAAAAAAAAAAAAAAAAAGAAAGAAATTAAGTAGGTACATGTACCTACTGCCTATAATGAACATAATCATTATGTACTAGTAAAAAAAAATTTTTTTATCGGTATCAGGGATCGAACTCATGACTGCGTGCTTACAAGGCAGCTAAATCCCCTGACCCCCTGAGCTAAATCCCCAGCCCCACTAGTAAAAAATTTTAAAATAAGATTTTACAAAACATGCTGGGCATATGGCCCAGTGGTAGAGCAGCATCACAAAATTAAATCAAATCAAATCATGCCTGGCAAGGCGGCAGATGCCTGTAATCCCATCACTCTGGAGGGTTAGGCAGGGATTGCTGCGAGTTCAACGTCAGCCTGGGCTACACAGTGAGTCTAAGGCCAGCCCGATTTATAAAGTGAGACACTGCCCCTAAAAACAAAAACAACAGCAGCCCTGTAAACACAGCCAAATAGTCCCTGGAAGTAAAGCCACTCCTGGTTGAGAATCGGTCTTCTTTTCACACCCGTCATTTGCAGACAGCTTCCATCAGGGAATGGATGCTGTCATGGTCCCGGACAGGTGCTGGTGCTGCACTGCAGGAGGCCAGAAGCTCCCCAGCCAGTGAGGAACTGGAGTTCATGAGTAAACAGCCTGCAGGGGAACCCGCCCAGGTGCCCTACACACCACACCAGAGGCTCCACACCAGGGGCCTGCCCTGCCCCCACTCCACTGCCTTTTTTTTCAGCCTCAGCCTCTCCCTCCTCACCTGCACTAACAGGATCACCACTGGCTGTGGCTGTGTACAGATTCCTGTTTCCTGCACTAGGGGTGCCTATAACGCACTAGGGCACAGCAGTGTGCCAAGCCTTGGGGGTAGCCTTTGGTGCCAGATCTGGGGTTGCCCCTTACTTTCCAGTTCACTGAGCATTGACAGCAGCCCTGGTGATTAATCACTTTTTATATATGTAGTTAATGCATCATGTGGCTATATATAGTCAGTATTATTTGTATCACAGCTTCGTCACTTCCTAATTTCCTGCTTTGGGGCAGACCAGTGGACTACAGATGAGGCACACAGGAAACGTAGATGTATCTCTCTCCTTTCTCTTTCCTCACAAACCTTCTACCTGAGACTGATTTTGTTTGGTCCATGTTACACTCTGCAGAGATTGAGAGGTTTCCTTTAGCATTAAGCCTTCCCCCTAGTACATATGGCTCCTAGTGTCTGAATATTTCTGTTGAGAATTACTCAACCTAAGGAAATAGTTCATCGAGGAAATACATAAGGACAGACCCTCACACAGTGATGCCTACTGCGCTGGGACAGTCACAAGACACATAAGCATGACCGTCTGTGTGGACTTTCCGTCTAGCACCACACTCATAATAAAATGGGATCAGGGTTTCACACTTTGGGGAGTTGGAAACTTACTTTCATGATGGCTCCAAATAGTCTGGAGAAAGGGGACCCACAGAGCAAAACTAAAATAGCTGCACCGACCCTGAGGAGGAAAGGAGCAAGTCCCAGGGAAGCAGGGATGGAGACCCAAAGTCAAACAAGAACACAAAGACCATTAAAGCCAGTTGTCTGCAGTCAGTGTGAAAAAATGGCTTTTAATTGTTATTTTCAATTTGGCTACTTACAAAATCTACCACAACCTTCTTCCACATTTATGTGACAGCTGCAATCAGTTGGAAGGCAGGAAAGCAGAAGGAAAGGTTTGGTGTCAAGGCCACAGAGCCTGGGGGGAGTGAGATATTCATACCTCACGATTCTTTTTCCCCTCACCACTCTGCCTTTTACTTTTTTTTCTTTTGCCACAGTGACTCTAGGTGTACACCAAAACAGGTTTAGCCTGAATTGTTCATTTCAGTTCAAATTAAAATGCTTCATCATGAACATACTGTGCAGAAGGCTCCCTGAAGAGGGCCATTTCTATGCTTGAGACAGACCTAAGAGACGAAGCAAAGGGCAAGGCAGATTTGTTTCATTATTGCTTTTTTGGGAACCTCAGCTCCCCTTAGCTGCATCTGACACCCTTCAGCCATGCATGGACAGGTACAGATGCGCTAGCCTGTCCCCCTCAACAGGACCTAAGTTATCTTGAGGGTATGATCGACAGAGCGGCTCTTCATTAGCTCTATAACTGGTTTTAGTATGGTGTCTTGCACGCAGTAGACAGGGAACAAATGCTGTAAGCAAATGACAGCAGTGCTAGCACAGACAGCACCAGCAGGGTCAAATGGAAGACAGTTTTTTTTTTTTTTTTTACCCCAGTACTGAGGGTCAAACTGAACTTTCTCACTCAGCTATATCCTCAGACCTCAAAAACTTTGTGACAAGTTCTTACTAGATTGCTAAGTTATGGTCCTCCTGCCTCACTGTCCCAAAGTGCTGGGAAGCAAAACTTTTAAAAGGAAGAGAAAGATTATAGTTGATGGCTACATTGTGAAGCAGAAGGCGAAAGCTTAAAGCCAAATTTCAAAAGGTCCTTTATGCTGGATTAGTGCTGACTTTAGTGTACTCAATTTTATCACCTCCACAAAAGATCTTTCCAATGGAGGCTGGATTCTAAGGCACTGGGCCTTCAAAATTCCTTTTAGGGAGTACAATGCAACCCACCCCAGGTAAGTTCAAGCAATGTTCCTGGATAAGGGAGAGAGGAGAAATGAAAGATGCCAAGAACATTGGTGGGGTAGCTGGCCCTGGGGTCTGGATTCTGGAGATCAGAGTTAGACAGGCAGGGTAAGGGGAAAGGGTTTGCAGATAGGGAATCACAGGGATGGTTCAGCAGGATTCAGGGCAAGAGAAGGCTGCAGGGTGGGGCATCTGGGCCCAGACTGTCCATGCTGGGGCAAGGCTAGTAGTCTGGCCTGCCTCTGGCAGGTCAGCCAGCAGGAGGGCAGTGCCCCAGGTCAGGGTGCTGATAGCAGCTTCTCTGCTGCATGGAAGGAGCACAGAAGCAAAGTCAAGTAACAGGATGGAAGACTAGCAATGGGCCACTGCCCTCAAGGAAGGTAGGGGAGCATCCCATAGCTCAGGAGCCAGGAGCTCGGGAAGAGGGCAACAAACTGGAGGAGAAATGCGCTAAGAGTTAGTTCCTGGAAGCCTTGGTGGCACAAGTGTAGAGGAGTCTGAGCAGTGGGGCAAGATAAACTCTCATCCAGGCAGAGGCACAGTGGTAAAGAGGCCCCTTTCATTGAGGACTCAGAATAAAAAGCAATAGGGACAGAGGGGAAGTACTATGGCTTGTGTCTAGATATTGCCTCGAAGCCTCACGCAGTCATAGGTGGGGCTTTCCAGAGACGACTAGATCTAGGATCTTGTACTGGGATTGACTCACCTGTGAGATGCTCGGATTGCGTGTGAGTGTGACCTACACTAAGAATAGGTAGCCTGGCTAGGGTCTAAGGGACAAATGGGCTGCTGTGGGCTTTGCTTGTTGCCTGCCACCTTTTGCCGGCCCTGTTTTGCCATGCACCGTTTCTCCTCTGTGATGCTCCTCTGCCCTACCACCCTGCTTTGGTGCAAGCTGACTATGAACTGAAACCTCTACAAACTGTGACCTAAACAAACCTTTTTCCTTTAACTTTGTGTGTTGGGTATTTTGTCTCAGCAATGAGAACAGTAACTAAGACAGGGAGGAAAAATGAAAACAAAATTATGATTCAAAGGATTAACCCAATGCTTCAGGCCATGACAATCATTCATTCACTGAGCACAGGTTGCTTTTATCTTGAATCTCTCACCTCATGTAAAAAGGCAGTTGCCAAAAAACTCTTGATAAACCACCAAAGTATTAGCACTGACCCTGGTCAGGATGCTCGCCTAAGTCAGAGTCAGTTCCAGAGGCCACAAGGCCTATGCAGACCCAGGCCACAGGAGGGCAGGGCAGAGGTAGCCAGCAGGAGAGTTACTCTGCCTCATGTCCTCCTTCACAATGGGGCTGCTCGTGCTGTGGGCACACAGTAAGTGCTCAATAAATGTGAGTAGTGACTGTTACAGATGTGTTGTTCACAATCCCAATAATGATAATTGGTGGTAAGATACACTCTGTCTCCTTCCCCCAAAGATAAATGTCCTGGGATTACTTCAGTGCATGCTTTATTTGTGCAGGTTCCTGAAAAAAGCACAATCTCGAATGAAAGTACAACACTGTACTTAATGGCAACATTACATAGCAAGCAAAAACTGTCCCCGAGCCTTTCACAGAAGGAAGGAACTTCCTGGCAGTTTTACAGCTATTCACATCAGCTTTGCATGTGAAGCCCCATCCCACTTCTCATTTTCACTAACTTCTTTCACTGACATGTGTTCACAGTTGTGTACAAATGTGTGTATTTGTGCATGTGCACATGTGTGTGTATACATACAAAAGGCTGCTCAAGAGAGTAGCAATGATGGTCTGGAAAAGCAATCCCATGATGATAAAGCAGCCACAGCAGGGCCAGGTTTCTCCTCCAGAGCCCTTCAGCCTAACAATATCACTGTGGCTGCCTAAAGTTGGCAACCAAGTGTGGTCCTGGTCTTGAGGTCACTCTTGCGGGTTCCCCACAGAGTAGAATCACAAGGCAGTCCATGGTGGGCAGGACGATGTGGAAATGTATGAGCACCTTGAGCGGCGTGCAGAGAGGCATCATTGGAGAGGACTCTACAGTTCACCTGGGTAAAACATACCTGGGCTGGAGACAGGTAGGACATTCAACACCTGTGCTGGAGATGAGACTCTTCAGCCACAGCCTCTCCTCCACTCTCACAGGTGCTGGGAATTTTCCATGCTCACAGTTGACTTCCATGCCTGGCATGCTACTGGGAGCCTCAAGAGTTTCTCTTAAAGATGTTCAGCTGGTGACTTTAGTCTAGCTGCATGCCACTTGGCCTAGCTCCCCAGCTCTTCTTGGCATCTGGATGAGCAGTCACAGCGTCCTGATATGTGGCACAGCATGGTTTAAACAGTGTGGCCTGTTTAAGAAAAGCCAGAGAAGAGGTCTGTCCCCTGAGCACTGGAGCAGCCTGGGAGGTCCTCGAACGGGCTGGCCTGTGCGCATTAGGCTGCCGCCTTGGCTGCTTTCTGGGCCTCATACTCTTGCTTTGCTCTTTCCCTCTGCTCCTGCTCCCTCTGTATCAGCTGCATCAGCTCCAAATGCCACTCCCGCAGTTTTTGCTCATAGGTGGCGAGGTCCTCAGGCTCACAGGTAGGGAGTTTTTCCTTGACAAGCTGGGTTGTGAGAGTCAAAAGGCTTTCTGATTCAACTTTGCCCAGAGCCTGCAATTTAGACTGACAGATCTATTGGATATGAAGGAGATAGAGAAAGAGAAAGAAGGGGAGAGGCAGAAGAAGAGAAAAAGAGAAGTTGAACAAAAAAGAGAAACAATTTAGTCACTTGCAAAACAGTCCCACACTTTGCTTGCAAAAAGTTCTTTGTTGAAACACTGTCACATGGCCATTCATCTAGGATCTGCTCCCCTCAGCTTAGAAGTTTGGCTAAGATGCCAGATCCGTGATTTCTCCCCACTGACTCACAAACGGTAAGTGGAACTCCATATGCTGGGACTCCCAGTGTGTTGTTTTAAACCACAAAGATGACACAGGTGGAACACAAGAATGTTTCCATGCTGACCTATTCCAACCCAAGAAGCAAACTCCACTGGATGCAAACAAAATGGCATCGACATCTGATAAACTGGAGTAAGCCTGTTCTTATCTTTTCCTTCAAATAACCATGGTAAATGTCTCTCCTGCCAGTAGTGCTTTCAACAGATGGAACTGCTGAAGGATTTCTCACTAATGGCATGCTAAACAGGTCCCATGAGCACTTGTACTATTAGAAGCCTCCCCCTGCTGTGCCCCCTGCAGTCAGCCTTTCCATCCTGCTTGCCTGCAGCCCTATCACAGTGGCAGCTTGGTTTGGTCAGTGATGTATTCCTGGAGTAGTAAAGTATTAAAAACATTAATCTGCTTAAGTGCTTCAAGATGCAGATCATCAGAACAGCCACTTAGGGTCCCAGGTGCTGCTTACACCACACATTCCCATGTTTCACAAGCCAACACGCTGGTGCGAGTGCTGAGCTTGTTTTGATATGACACAGAGTTAGAGGTGGACAAGGTCTACTGGCTCCAAGGCACAAGTAGAGACCTAGTGTGGTCAGATGGTCACACAATGGTTTCCAAACAATACCTCAGACTAATACAAGTCAAGCAACAGGAAGAAAAGAAGGTATAAAATGAAAACATTTTGTTTTTGATTTCACTGTCTCCATGGTTTGTGGCCAAGGGGTCTCAGAATAAGGTTTCAGCACTGACTCATGAAACCTGTCCAAATCCCAATTCAGTTACCTATGGGCAAGTGTCGGTGTCATGTGACCTGAGTGAGTCTGCCAGCCAGAGCTTGGGACAGTAACAGAAGTACAAGGGGCTGGACACAGTGAACAGTTGGTAAACATTTGTCTCTTCTGCTAATTTTCGTATCATTTAAGTGTGGAAAATGGAGGCCCCAGGGGCTGAGAACTTACTGCAAGCCCAGGTTTCTACCCTGTGGGATTAAATACACACAAAGCAATAGCCGTAATTTTTAGGAGTTGGGCAGCAACCGTAGTTCATGTGAATGTGAAGATGAAAATCTGAGGGGCTAAGCAGGTTTGTTTGTTTTTTTGTAATAAGCCTTTCAAAATAAACCTATAAAATTAGACAAAGAGGAAGGGATTAGAATGAAAATTCTCAACCTACTTCTACTACCAGTCTGTGAACCTCGGGAACATTAATTATCTTTGCTTTCTTGGTTTCAAATTAGAAAAAGATTGATTAGTGACCTTACAGGAGAACTGGAAGAAAGAGTTGCTTAAAATACAATAGGAAAAGAGACTTTTCACTGCTGATTCAATATACTTGCTCAATAGATTTAAATGTAGTAATCTAGCAAAGTTTATATCAGCTTATTACAAAGTTTAATCTAGCAAAGGTTACATAAAATGACACAATGGTCTACTGGCGAAGCTGAGGAAGTCTTCTGTTCTCTACATAGAATCCCACTAAGACAGCAATTTTATGTCTGCATTAAATGGACAAGAAACAAGGCAAAGGGAAGCCCGAGGGTTTAACCAGTGAACATGCTTCCTTTCCCCTGTTGCTGACTGCAGGCATTTTGGGATATAGAGTTGAAACCTACCAGAGACAGCCTGAGTGCTCAGGGCTGCTTACACAGCCATGCAGTACAGGAGAGCATTTCTAATGGCTGCAGCACAGTTTTGACAAGCACAAAACTGCCAAAGATGAGCAACAAGAGATGCCTGCCTCTTTTCTTCTGAGAGTAATGTGGCTCTGTAAAGTGGAACTGGGTTTCTGATCCAGTGCACTCAGTGCACTATGGGGACCAGATACTGTCCCCCTACAGTAGGAACCACATCACAGCAATGAGGGGGCCAGTTATAACCCATCCATCAGGCACCTATCTTTAATGAGGGGATAATGACATGCTGCCTCATGAATGATTAGATCAAGTATAAAAAGAAACATAAAATTTCACTGGTTTCTTTGAAGACCACTTCCTGTGTGAAGCAATAAAAATATAATTTTTGATGTCAGTTTGTAATGCCTTTGTGTGTGACAGTGATACACAAATGCTTAGAAGAGTGCTCATGCATCACCGTAGCAGAGGAGATTGTGTTATGCACAGCTGAGGAGTCAATTTCTGCTCACCTTAAACCGTTCCAGGTATTGGGGAAGCTTGGACTCTTCTGGTTCCTCTATGTCTAGCTGCTCCACCACATTATCTGAGGCCTGGCCATCTCCACTTTCCAGGGGAGGTTTCTCTGAAGCGCCCTCAGCTGGAGAAGTCAGTACCGTCAGCACTCTGTCCAGCACATTGAGCTGAAAATCAGGAATTATGTATTACGCGGTCCTGATGGCACACAGCACTGTGAAGAGAGGCTAGGAAGCTGAGAGTGAGGGGAAGAGGGGCCTAAAGAACTGTGGGTAGTTTCTTCCTGTTATAAAATCACAGGAAACAGCTGGGGACGGGGCTCAGTGGCAGCGTGCTTGCTTAGCATGCATGAGACTCCGGGTTTGATCCCCAGCACCACACATACCCTCACACACAAAAGGTAAGAAATAAATAATTACTTTTTTTTTTTTTGTCTTTTTCTTTTTTATCGGTACCAGGGATCGAACTCATGACTGCCTGCTTGCAAGGCAGGTGCTTACGCCGCTGAGCTAAACCCCTACCCTGAATAATTATACTTTTTGCACCTTAGAAACACCCTCTCACATGACATGGACACCACAGTACAAAACAAGTAGTACAAAACAAATAGGCAATCCTATCACAGTAAGGATTATTTATATGCATAAAGCCAGCAGAGGGACATCCAAGTGTGCTTTTAATTAGCCAGACAGGAGCCCAAGAATTATACCTGAGTGATCAGGACTCCTCCTTTCATGTCTTCCTTGGAGTTAGTTTGGAGTTGGGACAAAAGGAAAGAGACCACAGCCAGGCTGAATGCATGTTAAAGCTGCTGAGGGCTGCCCTCAGAGAAAGATTTTAGCTCAGTGTGTCTATAAATTAGAGATCAACGTAACCCATGTATGCTGCTGGCAAGGCCAGAAACACATCCTGAAATTCATTTTAATGAGGTGACTTCTGACTTATGTATTAAGTAAATTAAAGAACAGAGGGTTTGCTTGTGTCTTATCTCACTCCCCTTCTACTTTAACTTCAGACACTTAGCCCAAGGAATGCTAAGTCATTAGAGTCGGGACAGGAACAATCAAAAGGACAGCATAAACACCTGCTTGGATATCGATTAATCCTATCCATGTCAAATTGCAGCAAAAATCCAAGAAGTACTAAATCCTTTACCACTTCAAATCATGACACCTAAACTGGGCATGTATCACATTCTTGACATATGAATAACAGTTCCACAGATTAGAATCAAAATACATGTTTGGAAGAGTTATCTTCTCAGCAAAGAATTTACGTACAATTTTTGTCTTCAATCACCAGCACTGATTGCAGCAGGCTTAAGACATGTATGTTGAGAAATGTGTATGTTTTATTATACATGTCCACAAAAGAATGTAACAACTCAACAGACACTGGCATGGGGGCTAGGGTTAGATGCATCAGACCTGCACATCTCCTGACAGAAACAAAAGGCAGGGACTGAGCTTTGGAGACCAAAGTCAAGACAAAATGAGCAAATGGCTTTACAGTGACCTTTCTCCCAGGCAAGAAGACAGCCCTTGTCCTATCTTCACTCTGCCTAGAAAGCTGCTTGGCTAGGCACGGACCTTGGCTGCCTGCAGGGTGCAGGACCTATTGAGTTCCCTGGAGTCTGAGCTAAGTTAAGTGGCTTCATTGTGTCAAGGGTTGCAAGTGACTAGAGAGATGCGCTCTGAGGCTGCTAGGAGGACAGTGCTTGAGATAAGGCAAAGCAAATACCTTAGAGTTTTGAAAGAAACACCAGTTCACCTCTAGTATCACACACTCCCCACAGAACGGATGATGGAAGCAGAGTAGCCGGTCCCCAGATTCATTTCTTGAGGGTTTTTATGGTGGGAAAAAGTTGCTGTGTACTTTTTCAGGACTGCATTAGAGTATGGAAATGCCAAAAATATTTAACATGAAATCTTATCCTCTTCAACTGAGATTTTTTGGGGTGGATGGGACAGTGCAGTAGGCAGTATTTTACTGAACTCAGTTTGAATTTCAGGGGAGCAAAACTATTTTCCTTCCTGTTTAATGAGTCAACATTAATCTTACTTTCTAGTGTTTTTTTTTTTGTCAGCAGCATGGAATATATGCTTTTTCATTCCTGCTCAACTGGGCACTTATTCTATACATATTCATTCTATACAAATACAGAAAGCAGGGATAGGGGAAAGATAGCGAAAACAGACCCAGAGCTCAACCTGTCATGAGGGATAGAGATGGCTGAACCTGGGTGAAAGAGGGCTGAGGGACGTACCGCTTCTCTACATAGCTTTATGTCCTCTGAAGAGGAGGCCACCTTCTCCATCACTTGAAGGGCTCGGTCCAGGTAGCCTGGTTTCCATATCAGAGGCATGTTGGAGTACACAGCCCGAAGTCCATGCTGCATTTCCACCTTTCCTGTGGCCAAGAAGAACAATGAAGAATGCTCAGTCACGTCTTTCCATTATATCTGAGACTGAGGATTGACGGTACTAAGTCTGGCTATTATAGACACAGTGGATCATTTCAAATCTGTGCCAAGAGTCTCATTTTCATTTAGCAACCTGGTGACATTTTAGAGAAATGATGAATGTGGCAAAGTTTAGACAGGCTTGGTGATGCAAGCCAGTAATCCCAGCACCATGGGAGGCTGAGGTGGGATTACAAATTCAAGCCCTGCCGTGGCAATTTAACAACAAAATGAGACCGTTTTTCAAAATAAAAAATAAAAAAAGACCTTGAGCTCAATTTCCAGTACTATAGTAAAACAATAACAACAACAAAGTAGATACATTTTATCATACAAATTTGTATGACTTTATTTTTCCTCTTTTTCATGGGCTGGCAGTGTCTTTTGTAAGGCTGCCTTAATGACTAGCCTGAGAGAAATTTTGAGAGGATGCCATCTCTGCCTTTAAGGCTCCCCTTAAAACAGAAATCAATGGCAACACTATTTTTGTTTCTAGAAAATTTCTCTCCCAGAAAAAGAAATTCCACAGCTTTGCTATAGTGAAAATGTTGTCAACATCTAACAACTTTCCCTTGCTAAGAAAGGTGTGAGATTTCTTGAAAAGTGTCAAAACAATCAGTGTATGGTCTTTATGAAAAAAAAAAAAAAAAAAGAAATCTCTTTTTTTTCTTTCTTTCTTTTACTTGAGCTTTATTAGTCCTTAAATTTTAACAGTCCTGGTGATCCTTTTGGACCTTAGGATGTTTCCCTTGGTGCCTAAACTCATCCAAACAGGGGCTCAGGATGGGGATTTGGACAGCGGGTCCTTCGTTCCCGCAGGGGCAGGGGCTAACTGAACTCACTTGCTCTGCACTAATACCCAAAGTCACCTTGAGCTGCTAGGTCGCAAATTCACCTTCACTTAGCTTTCCTGGGAAGGAGGATTTGGGGACGCTACAGTAGGATACAAACAGACAAAGCTTATCAGGCAATAGCTAATTTTAGACCTCTAAGGTGCTTGGCAGCTACAAGGCAGTCTCGGTGGGCCCCTGCTGCTACCAGGGTTGAATGAGGTCATGCAGCAGGTGACACAAAGACAGCAAAGAGCTTTTGATCTGTTGGTTGCTGGTCACAAAGAGCGGGGCCTCTGCTCATAAACAACACAAAGCACACTTTCCTAGACCTACCGACTTCCTGAATAATACATGCAGTATAGCAGCCTTGAATGCTGATCTGAACAGAACAACACATGTAAATCAAAATCAAAAACAGGTAGTAAATAAGGAAAACATGATTTTTAAAAACAGTGATCAACTCTTATTAGTTTAACAATCAGTCTAATATATTTTGAAAAATTTTGTTCTCAGTTTATCTAAATCAGCATGCAAGAATGTCACATTACATTTTGCAAGCAAAGATCAATTTCAAAAGCAGTCAAGCTGTTGTAACTTTGGTTTCAAAAAACAAAGAGAAGCAGAAGCAATGAAGTACCAAAAGAAGGTGCTTTCCCAGAGGCCTCACTTTGTAAGAGAGAAAAGAAGACTAATGAAATAATACGCATTTAATAAGTCTCTGGGAATCAGCACACATTTAGGCTACATGTTATTTGCTCAGAGTTCACATAACCCAGCTGAGGCTGCTCCGTGTGACCTGACACTTGCAGCAATCAGGGCCCCGCAAGTCAGCAATTGTCCCACCACACTGTGCAGTTATACTGCACTTCTCCCAAAGTGCTATTAGTTGTACTCTTTGAGTTTCTCCTTCCTCCTTTGAAAATAAAACCAAAGATACAAGTTCAACTTTAACTCTTAATTCCTTACCTCCTGGACTTTAGGTCTAAATAAACAGGAAGACCTCTGTTAATGCTAGGAAATGCTCTCATGGCTGGCTCTCTGGACAGAGAGCTACAATGTTCATTTTTTCCCAGTTCCTCAAGCAGAATGTGTTTAATACTATCTATAGCCACCAGGCACATTTCTTTCCTTGTTGGCGGTACCTTGGATTTTAAGAATGGTCTCGAACCTGTCCTATGTTTTAACTGTGAGGTCTATTTTTATATCTAAAGTAAAGATTTTAGGTGAAATTTCACTAGTAAGTTTAAATTGAATTATAATTTTATTATAATTATAGAAGAGTGTACTAATGTATCTATGAAGAACAATACACACACACACACACACACACACACACACACACACACACACGTATGGGTCACTTAGCTTACCAAGAAGAGCATAGCCATACAACTGGGAACTCACACCCACTGAGTTCTTCTGCTTTAGGCCTGGAAGTAATAGGGATGCACCAAAGTTTCTCTCCTCTTCATACTGAAACAGGAACATGGCAGATCACGGTCCAGCTAATCAATGAATACTTAATGTGACAAAGAATGTGACATGGAGGGAGATGAACTTATTATAGTATTAAGTGAATGTATCAAAATTACAAAGCTGTATAAAAATTATAATGCTAATCTTATAATAAAGGTATTTATGTTAAAAGAAAAATACAAAAAAAAATATTCCCTATGTTGACAAATGTCTGGGCAGTGAATTTACAAACAGTTTTCTTTTGGCAATGAGTAAGAATTCGTTTTACAATCAGAAAAGCAAAATGAGATTGAAGACACTGGACTTGAGAAATTAAGGAAGATTCAGCACTCTGTCAGCTACCTGCACATTCCCTCACACTGCTATGGCTCGAGAGAGGATGCTTCTAAATTCTGAACAAGTCACAGTAGACTTTTTCTCTACCATGTTAAAATAAATATCACTATTAAGTTGCTTTCAGATAGATGTGTGCTTCTTAAAAACAAATGAGGCAATCAGAAGAACACTTAGTGATCACTACTTTCAACCCAGGGTCAAAATCACACTTTAATAAAGCTGAAGCTTTTTGAAACATGGGAGGTGGACACACACGCAAAATCATAAGCACTGCTGAGCCTGCCACACACTTGAGACAGCAACAATGATGGCCACGTCCCTGGGAACGCAGGGCCTCAAGGACAGCCTTGGCAGGTCCCCAGAGAATGGAGGCTGTGTGCGTGGCGGAGTCACACAAATACACACTGGCCAGGCTGTGCCTTGAGACACACAATTCAAAGTTTAGCCTGCCCTGCACTCACTCAGAGGTCAGGGAGAAAGCAGAGAATACACAAGGTCTAGAGGCTGCAGTGGGGCCCAGGTATTAACAGGCACCCAAACTTCTCAACTATGAAGAGCCTTTGTGCAACCTAAGCACTAGCGGAAGGATTTCCTTAATCTGGGGGTTTTGTGTGTGGTGGGAGGGCAAGGGGGCTGGGGCAGGGAGAGAAAAACAATACCGTAAGGCAGCACAGATAAGTAAAAGGGCACCACGCTGCTTCATGTTAAAAAGTAATCCATTTTTAATCTAGGAAAGTTTGCTTTTCTCCACATACATGGCTTGAAAAGTGGGGCAATAAATAATAAATATGGAAGACTGAAAATATTTTTCCCCTGTAGACTAAAAGCCAAATAAGCAGTAAAATATGTAAACAGCAGTTACCCTTGTGCTAGAAATGAAGCAGGTATGGTGAAAGTGACTGGGATAGTGATATAGGTCACACATCTCTAGCCTCAAATCCAAAAGGCTCCAAATTTTGAAACTTTTTGAGCACTGACATGAGTGGAGAGTACAAAGTTCTGTACCATGAAACTTTGTTTCAAGCATAAAATTATTACAAATATTTATAAAATTACCTTTCAGCTACATGTATATGCAACACAAGGGAAGTCTGTTCAGATTTAGGTCTCATTCCACCATCTCATTATGCATTTGCAAATATCTCATTATGCATGGGCAAATATTCTAAAACCTGAAAAAAATCTGAAATACTTCTTGTCCCAAGTATCTTTATTTTTTTATATTTATTACCAGAAATCGAACTCGGGATCTTATGCTTGCCACAGATGCTGCACCGCTGAGCTACATCCCTGGACTTCCATGTTCTTTAAAAAGGGATACTCCAGTGTCACTTCACCGACATCCTCAAGGTTTTCCCATTTGATGTGTAAGCCTCTCCCATGAACACAATGCACTGTACCTCGCTCACTCCCCTGCATGGCTAGATGGTTCAGAAGAGTTGCCTATCCTCGTGTCTCCTTTCCCTAGCTCTAAACCACTCCTCAATCCACTCCAATTGGGATTCCTGCTCCACTGCTCTGTGGAAACACAGGTTCTAACACAGGGCCTCTATGCTCTAAATTCAGTTAATTTTTTTTTTTTTTATTTTTCACCTTACCTTATCCACGAAGGTGCTTTTTTCATGGATTTTGTAATCCCGTGTGGGGAGTGGCTGTGCTGGAGATCAACCACACATTTGGGGTTAGAGCAAGGCCAGCCCTGAGCCATAGAGCTCCAGAGGCGAGCCATGTAAACAAGCTGTTGGGACTAGAGCAAGGCCAGTCCAGCAGGTGTCCACTTGGTGTTCCTCCCTGTTAACTACAGCACAGACAGCTCTAAGAATGTTTCACTTTCTACATTCTCAGTAAAACACTAAGACCTTGCACTTTGGATATAGGTTGTCCATGCTTCCCCTCTTTGTACCTTGTGTAAATAAAGAGGCAGACCATGCTGGGTTGTCTCTGTCTCTCCATCAGAGAGGTCAGGTCCCACCCAGACCCAGATTTTATTTTAGTATATGTCTATAGCTTTCTATTAATCACCCATTATCCCCTCTCAGGACCCTGCTGGCTGTGCAGACCACACCAATTCCTAATTTTTCTTATTTTAATTGACATATGATATTTGTTCATATTTACGAAGTACAGTTAAATAACTTGCTACTTATATACCATGTTGATTTTCCTTGCTTTTGCTCTCTAGCTCATTTGCAGACATTTACATGTCCAAGTATAAATCTCCAAAATTGTATCTTTGCTGGGCATGGTGGTACATGCGGTAATCCCAGCATTCAGGAGGAGGCAGGAGAAGTTGGAGGTCAGTCTGGGCTACATAGCAAGTTCAAGGCCAGCTTGAATTATAGAATGAGAGACCCTGTCTCAAGATAAAACAACCGTATCTTCAGCTCCTATATTTCCATTAAGTGCCACCATGAAATCTCTTGACTCTCAAAAGCAACTCAAACTGTAACAAGTTTAGAGCCAAGTTAATGATTTTCTTTCCTTATAAAGCCTAGTCTTCTTTCAATTCCCTTTGCAAACACATGGTGCCCCTTCTGTCCAGATGAGTCAGAACCTGAAGAACAATATTCAACTCTTATCTAATTTTTCATCTTGTAATTTACTACCGCAGTATGTCCAGCAGTTACTCTAACTCCACTACACACTGGTTGTTAGGCCACAATTATCTCTTGCTCAGATGATGTGTGCATCTCTCAACTGATCTGACCATAACAGCCATCCTGCCATGAAAACATCTAAAACACCAAAAACACACTGCCAGTTTTAAAGTAAGTGACATTTAAATCTCAATCATCACTGTTTACTGTTGTCTTCTTAGGACAGAAATAAGCAGTGACTAAACATCTTCACTTATGAACTGAAGCCGAAACTTAGCATTTTGGACTTCTAGAACACAAGTGGTCTAGAATAACCTAACCAAAATACACAAATGAAATAACCAGTATTTAATACTCTATATCGTGGTTAAAGTTAGCTGCCCACCGGCTTCTTTGAACGTGCCGTCATGCATGTTCAGCTCTCAATGATTATTAATGACCCATTTCTGGATGTCTGAGGTGACCTGGCCTAGCTCAAATTTCAGGATGTGCACAAAGAACCAGGGTATAGCTGAGTGGTACACTGCTTGCCAAGCATGCAAGAAAGTTCTGTATAACAAAACTGCATGTCCCCAGTACGACACAACAAAATAAGATAAACAGCCCCCCGAAACAACAAACAAACCACAAAATGTACACAAACGTTTGACTTGAGATTCTCTCAAGCAGAACATTCACTTTGTTGGAAATCAGTAACTGAAATGTACAGAATGAATACTTGTTCCTGGGTGTGCACTGTCACGGAGTCGCAATCGAATACCTTCTTCCAGATTCTGAGAGCAGTTTCCCCCACTGCCTACTGCCTCACCGACCAGCCACTGCTCCCTCTTTCCTACAGCTCTCAGTACTGCTTCAGGGCAGATTACTCACACTGAGATCGGTCTTCTTCGCCAGGCAATGGTACAAAACGTAGAGAGAGAGGAGCTGGGTGGAGGGCACTTCAAATGCTTCTTGCATCATGATCTCAAAAACCACAGACAAAGCATCTGGCAAGAAGATGAAAGTGAAAATAAGGGGAAATTAGCTGTAGGTTAACATCACCAAATCTCTAACTACAAAACTGGATCATAGCAGAAAAATGCACAAATCAAGAAGTAAAAAATGTGGGTCCTGGTCCTGCAAAGTAGGTCTTTCCCAAGCCTTTACCTCTATTGTATGTACTGTAACGTACTGAATCAGGTGCTCTTACATCAGCGTGCCCAAATGATATTAAAATAAATCACGTTCCTTTTCCTGGTTCCCAAGATCATCTTCATAGTAATAAAATACTATTTGTCCTATCTACTTTGAAAGAGTTTTAGACAATCCTAAGATAACATATATGGAAAGTGCTTTGTAGATGTGAAGCAAACTCAAGTCATGATGCCTATTAGTCAGGTGAGTTAAGGTCCAGAGAAAGGTAGGAAGCACATCATTTTCAAAGTCTCCCTGATAAGCAGGGCCCATGGGCGGGGCTGCCTGCCCCATCTCTCGTCTGGTGTCTTCCCTACTGAGGCAGAAGAGGGAAAATACTAAAGGAAATCCTAAATTCTAGACATTAGAAAATAGATGAATAAAAAAGGGGTTAAAAGGTTCAGTTTGAAAGACATGAAAGGAAAATACTCATTCATAAATTACAAGCCCCCACCTACAACATACAACATATTATTTGCACACAAATGCTGTGGAATAGGCCGTGAAAAATTCCTAATTTCTCTTGATATTCTACAACAGAACCAGAAGCTCAGAAAATCAAGTTCAAAAAATGCCTGGCCACTAGTTATCTCTTGCTAAAAAATGTTAATACTGGTTTAAAACCCAAACCCTGCATCACAAGTACAACAGAGGTTTTCAACTGATTGAGTTATTCTGTTAATTCTGTATATACTCATAATTATAAAAGTGTTAGAATGATCCACAGTTGAGTTGTTCCTTGTCGACTGGTTTTGCAAATACATTATGGGTCTGAAGGAGACCAAAGGTATAAATTTTTGTATTTTTTATGCAAATGGGGAAACTGAGACAGACCAGGCAGACCAGGAAGTGATCTAGTAAATCTAGCAAAGTAAGGACCTGGAAGAGATTTTCTTTTAAATAAATCAGTAATATTTTCAAAGAATACAGGGTTAAAAAATCTGGTTAAAAAAAAAACCCAACAACTTAAGTTCTGCCAACTGTTTATTCAGAATCCAAAATTACACATGAAAACTAAATCAGATTTACTTTATTCTTTATGTTCTGTATTTTAATCAGCTTGAGAAGTAAAATTAGATTGGACTGCATAACAAATTTTTTCCTCTGTAATTATTTATGTACCTTTATACTTTCTACCCTAACAATAGTAAAAAGGATAATATTTAAAATGTTTTTGCATAGATAGTAATTTTCATAAAAACTTTCCTGACTACAGGAGTGATGTAAACAGCGGTGTCACTGAGAAATAAAAAAGGGAAAAGGACCTGCATTATTCACTTCCCTTTGGAAGCTGAAAGAGCTATAATAAATACCTGAATCTGGGATTAGTTTCTTACCTTTGTAATTTTCTTTCTTTATGAAAGAATCCAGTAATAAGTTGAATGTAAAATTATCAGGAAAAATTCCATATTGAACCTATAATGAAAATAAAGTGAAAAATAAAGGAAAGTGAAAGTAACGGAAGAAGTTTTCCTCACTTGAATCAGTCTGTAATGTATTATTCAGGATAAAACTCATCACTATTAGCTTTAAGCTGTCTGACTCTCATTTTACAGCATCTATGACCGTGAAATGGAAGCTGTGACTCATGAAGTTGTAACTGGAACTGTTGGTCAGGGTGAGAAACTTGTGAGTGGGTGTCTGACACAAGACAATTGATATGTGAAAAATAAAGCTCAATTCTAACACCTCATCAGAAGAGCTAAAACCAAAAAAAGAAAAAAACCAAGTAACTCTACCTCCAAGCCAGTTTAATGATTCTTTTTGTAAGGTATGAATAACAACAGAAAAATGAATTCTCAAGATAAAGAACACAAAAGACCTAGAAATACGCCAGCAAGTACCTGCCATTAACCAACTGCCTAGGACATTGTGCTATAAGCAGCGCAGCTGAATGTCTGACAGTTCAATTCAGATAGAAATTTTCTGATTAGAATTTTAAGAATAAATGTAGACCATAAGACCTGTGTCAGAATTTTCCAAGACTGCTTTGAAGCCTCAGAGCTACAGAATCCGATCTCTGGGAATCTGACACAGAAGTGTGACATTTCAATGAATGTCACAGGTGATTTTCATGCACACTCGTGTCTGACTCCCAGTGATCTGGGTAGCAGCACATTTTTGTCTCACATTTGTACTTCAGGAGGACTGACCACCATGTCGCATGCGGCTCTGTTCTCTCTCACCAACTATCAGAAGCACCCAAGGAATTTTCTCTAACTGTGCCTGTTCCTTTGGAAGGATTCAGACATAGCCCTGACCCCAGTGGTGAGGCAACAGGGAACTGCCTCACTGTCACCAGCGGGCATGGGATGCCTCAGGTGGGTTGAATTGAAAAATGTTGAAAAGCTGCCCTTCAAAAGTCTATTGCAGCTCAGGGCCCAGTATCTATTATTTCTTGAAGCAATCATTTAAGTCAGCACTAATCCCTGGGGCAGGGTAAACTCAAAATATTTTAGGATGATAAGTCATTCAAGCTAGAAAGGACCTGGAAATCAACTGGTCCATGATTCTTAGTCCTCAGTATAAATCAAAATCAACAGGATGCTTAAAATAAAAGTACCTATGAGGGATGAAAAGGCATAGCACATTTCATTATTTTAAGGCAAAGTATCCAGTATGCTACTATCACAGTGGATTCATGTCATTAAGCATTTTGTCATAAATGTTCAAGAATGAACTCTGAGGTAAGCAATCGATTTGGCTGATGCGATTCACCAGCTTTAATTGATGCGCCACTCCAGGGGGAGAACGCAGATTATGGGGGAGGCTATGTATGTGCTGGTGCAGAGGACGAAGAGAACCTCTCTACTTTCTGCTCAATTCTGCTGTGAATCTAAAACTGATCTAAAAAATACATTTTACTAAATAGCAAAACAAAACACTAACAGCAATACTTGGGTACCAGACAGATCAATTCAATTAGAATCTTAGAATCTCAGGGGTAGAAATAAGCATCTATAATTTTTAGAAAGCTAATGGGCAGCCAGAGTTGGAAATCAATGGTTTAGTACAAACCACTCAAATCAGAATTGAAAAACTAAGATCTAGAAGGCGAAAATTATTTTCCTGAAATTCTGTGTAACTGGTGGAACCTGTGGGATTATAACCTGGCTCTTCTGACTTTTTGCCTACTGGTCTCTCCATTAAAAGATTCTAGAAGCAGCAGAAATGAGACAGATTCTATACTATTTTTCTACACAGTGTCTTTCTGTTTTGTTATTATACAAGTTTTCTTTGAGTGTAACCTGTGTCATACTCAGAAGAGAGCTGGATTTAATTTATGTCTTCCAGTGGGCCAGTCCCTTTTGCTCTTGAGATTCAAGGCCATCATTCTGACTATCTTTACCTAAGGACTTGGCTTAGTCTCCTACTGTTCTCTTACTTAGTGTGTTGGTTACTTTTCTATCACTGCTGGGATAAAATACTTGACATCCAAAGTTAAAGGAAGAAAGGATTATTTAGCTCACAGGTTTCAGTCCATAATCTGCTGGGTCCAAGGCAAGCTGGCTCATGGCAGAGGGCAACAGTTCATGGTGGCCGGAAGACAGCAGAAGCAACATGAGCACAAAACGAGGGCAGGAAAGAAGACTCCTTCTGTCCTTTATACTGTATGTGGGCCATAGCCACCTTAAAGTGGCCTGACATTCTGCCCCTGCCCTCTCAAAGACTCATTTATACAAAAGACATTTTAGTCCATCTCTAAAAGTGGCCAAAATCTTAACAGTTTCAGTATTGCTGAAAAACCTGAGTGCCAAGTCTCCTCTAAGATGTACGGCAAACTCTTAGCTGTGAGCCCTATACAAATAAAAAGTTAAATACTTCCAATATTCAATGACACAAGATAAAAATTACATTCTAAATGGTACAACCAGGGTGACACAAAGCATTGGGACCAACGTAAGTCCAAAACCTAGTAGGGCAAACATTGTATCCTGCAGTTCTGTGCAGAACATCCATAGCAATCTGTGGTAAACTGTGAGCTCCAAAGGACTTCTGTGACTCCACCCCATGGTACTTCTGGTGGTTGTAGCTCCCCTGCTTCTCTCTTGGGCCCACTTTGCTCTTTCCTTGCAGGTTTCCTCAAATGATCCATGCTCCTGGATTCTCCAGATTTCTAGGTCTCTACTGCACTTTTAGCTTCAGCCTCACAGCTTTGCCTACTGCTTTCTCAGGGGCACACTGACTGGCTTCCTTGGCCTTCTTCTGGAATCTGGGTAGAAGACTTTTTCACCTCAGAACTCTTGCATTCTGCATGCACCTAAAACCAATTCCACATGGATGATGTCAAGGTCTGCTGCCAGCTGCAACAGTAGCCAGGCTTTCTTCTTTCTTGGCTGTAAGGCTCAGGTGCCTGTACTGCTGGGCACTCTGAACCTGATTCTGAGGAACAAATTCTCCATGCTGCCGCCATTCTGTAACCTGGTGCTCTGCAGCTTTCTCTCAAAGCTTTCACTTTTGCAGTTTGGAGGCTGCAAAGGGTAGTGACTTGCTACTTCTTGTGATGCCCTCAGGCCAACTTTTATATTCTCCTGTTTCTTCTCAGCAATCAAGATCTTTTCAGCTCTGTCTGCAGTCCACAGTTTCACTGAAGCTTCTTTTCTGGCTAAACTCAAAACATTTTAAATCATTCTGCTGGGCTCTGTGTTCTTGATTCTTAACATAAATCTAACTAAAAGTCCCCAACAATAGTCATACCACTGCTCCAACATTCAACTGACTTAAATTTTTTCTGCTAGTTTAATTAGTCTACTGCCCTTAATCTTAGGTGCAGGCAAAATCTCTGGACACTTGGCAGACAAACTTTCTGCCAAGCCATATACACATCACCTAGACTCCTGCAGCTAATGCAGTCCTTCTTACAGAAACCTCTTGAGCCTGGTTTTTACTGGCAGAATTTATATCAGCCTTCTGAGTTCTGATCAGAATCTCCCATACAGAACAGCTTAAGGTGTTCTAGGGCTATTCTTTCAGGCGACATTTCCAAACCTTTCCAAACTCTCACTACAAGCCATTCCCAAAGGCTCTCCACATAGGCAGGTATAGACACAGCAATGACCCCACTTCTTTGGTACCAAATTCTGTGTTGTTGCTTCTCCTATTGCCTGTTGGTTCTCCTAGAGGAACTTGCTGAGCTTCTTCTTTGATATGAACTTGGCTATTTTCATTGTCAGAGGAGCTTGGGAGCTTTGTTGCCAATGTCTAGAATGGCCACAGTTCACTTTGGAGCTTCTTAGCTCCAGAAGGGAAGATGGTGCATTATTTAATCCCTAAGAGAAGCTTGTCATGCTGGTTTACTGATAGAAACTAGGCTGTTCTGATCATCGAAAGAGCTTGAGACCTTGTTGTTGATGAGGATGGCTGTGGTACATTTTGGGGGAGCCGTGGTCCTTACTTTGAGCATTGCTTCCTGGCTCCAGTGCAAAACCCTCAACCTTCTGGCACAAATCCTTCATCACACTGGCACAGCCTTTTTGGCATCCAATTGACCTTTGGGTCTTCCCAGTACAGATCCATGAAACACTGTAATGGGCTCTAGGTCATAAAAGCTGGACTCACGCAGGATATTGCTATGGGATCTGAGTGAAGACCTGGATTTTGGGGGCCTTTAGATTTACTGCACTTTTCACGTCTGACTCTTTGGATGACTATTATAAAAATAATTCTGTAAATTATGTGTCCTGTATTAAATTGTTTCCCTTGCAAACCCTAATTACAACACTAGTGACACAGAGCCACTCTCCCTACCCCAAGATACCATATACTCTAGGCCAAAGGGCAACCTATTATTTTTTAAGCATGTATATTTGGTGACCAGCTTAAATGATACCTAATATATCTTCTAGTTCTCTCCTTCCAACTGGGTTTCTTCTCTTAATTCCATTTTTACTGGTGTTCTTGTACAGCACTTACATTTGGTAAATGTTAGACTTATTAGAAAATTTGTTTTTCTATCTGATTACCATATCTGTTTCCTATTTTGTACTTTCTTTCATACCATAAAGGTAATGGATACGCAACTCCTAGGTGGAGTGCAACATACAGAAACGTCTTAATCATAGGCAACTCTTGGACTTGAGGGGAGGAGTCAGGGGGCCTGAAAGGCTCAGGATGAATCATCTAGGAAGAGTTTTATTTATTTATTATTTATTTATTGGGCACCAAGAATCAAACTCAGGATGTGCTGCTGAGCTACAACCTTGGCAACGTGTCTTTTAAAAAACCAAGACAGTCTGAATATGCTAGAAAGCACATTCCAGCAAAAGTGGTCTTCTCTCGCTGCCCGCAGATTTTATCAATGAAAGCAATGGAAGAAATTCAAGGCTCAGCGCAGGGTTCTCATGATTGGATGACCTTTCACTTTTACCTGCCCTTCCCTGACTCATTCTAATTGGAAAACCAGCAGCTCTGGGAAATTTTATTCTTGATCTGTTGATTAATTTATGTCCAGCCTCATTGTGAAAAAGACTGTTCAAGGGCAAAAGATTTAAAAAGCGATTTCTGGTGCTGTTTTCTCCTGTGCTGTCATACGTAAAACATCACCCTAAGCTCAGGAAACGTTCCAGGGAGCTACTGTTACATTTATACCCAGATTTCCCTGAAAGCCTCCTGCTCTCACAGATGGGCCCTTTTGAAGGTGACTGGATGATGGGGATGAGACAGTGCCTTGCTGTTAGGAGGAGGGTGTGACTTGCAAAGGTGTATCCCCCTCTGCAGCTCCTTCCTTCCTTCACTCTCTGCTTCCTGGCCATCATGATGTCAGCTGCTTTCCTCCACCCCAGCCCTTCCATCATGATGCTTTCTGCCCTAGACCACACAAGGACTGACAGTACTGAAATGGGACCCCAATAAACTTCTGTAAATTATAGGTGCCAGGAATTTTGTCTCAGTGATGAGGCAAATGATCAAGCTAGCCACTCACCTTATTGACAAGAGTGTATAAGGCTTTGTCTTGGGCACCGTGTTTTAGACACTGCCTAATCCAGGTATGGATAGTCCAGTCTCTCAGGTACAAGCAATTAGGACTGTGTCGAAATCTAAACAAAGCACAAGAGAGAACACTGGTGTTATCTCTTAAACATCATGACAAAACACATCTTCCACCAGCGGGTCCTTTTCTTGGGTATTTAATGAGTGCAGTCAAAGGGGCCAAGGCCTGAAAGTCAACAGCTGATAAAACCTGAGGATGAAACTCATTAACTATAAGTCTGAATAAAAAGAGAAGGCAAAGTAGTAAGAAAACTACAAAAATTTTATTCCTTATTTAATAACCCCTGCTTCAACATGTTTAAATGAGATTTATGAAAAACAGTTTGGGGGAAAATACTAACCATGTCATTGTGTAAGTACATATTTTAGAAGAGGGGAGATGAAAATTTGAAGCTGATAGTTTGTAAGTTTGTAAGTTTAAGAACAGATGTGGGTAAAAATACAGAACAACGTAATAACTGTAGAGGGAAATCTGCTTTGGATATTACAGATATCTTGTGGCTAAAGAGACTAAAATACTTTAGTCAAGAGACTAAAATACTTTAACTTTAGTAAACTAAAAAACACAATAAAACAGAAAAAAGACTGAAAAATTAAGGTTGAGTAGGATTTCATGCTTATGTCCTGTAGGAGTCACAATCCTGCTGACTTCCTCATGGCTCCACTCTGCTCCTCAGTCCTTCCCCCAGGGCTCCCAAGCTCTCCACGTGGCCCTGAAAGCTCCACATGGCCCAATTAGAGAACAGTACAGTGACAGTATCCTCGTCAAACCGCTCCTGATGCTACTTTCACTGTAAGTCTATAAACACTACAAACAGCTGGGCGGAAGCTGATTCTCCTTACTCCACACACAGGGTTTGGGACAAAAGACTGATTTGGAGTGGAAAGAAGGCTGTGAGAAGGACACGTGTGGAGAGGGCTTTGTGGTCCTTCATTGTATCTGTTTTGATTTGGATGACTCTGTATACTATATCACATCTGCTAAAGCCCACATATTTCGTTTAACCATCAAGAAGCAGGCCTATTTCTGGGGTCCACACAAAATCAAATTCTTGTCTTAAAAAGAAAAAGGTAAGCTAAAACTTGGAGCTACAGGATTCTGTGCCATATATGAGTTGAAGATGGAGGCTAATGCCAGTGTTTTTGAGAGGTTCATTATTCAAACTGCCACTTGCTATTTCTGCCATCTGCCATTGGAATAGTTTCCTTTGGAATAACAGCCAAAGTAAAAGCTGAGAAAGGAAGGGAACTGAGAAACAGGATTTCACTTAGGTTATCTATTAGTTCTCTGGTGAGAGATTTTGACAAAAATAAGATGTGAAGGTGTTTCATAAATGTAGGGTCTTCCTGCCCCCTTCCTCTCTGTGGTACTGGGGACTGAACCCAGAGGGACACTACCACTGAGTTACATCCCCATTCCTTTTTATTTTCACACTGAAAAATTTGAGGCAGGTTTTTACTATGTTACTCAGGCTGGTCTCAAACTTCTGATCCACCTGAGTAGCAGGGATTCTGAGTGTGCACCACTGTGCCCAGCTCTATTTTAAAAATTATCTCAGGTTTGGCTGCAACATCTTTCATTCTAATCTTCCGTACAGAATTAACTCCTTCAAAATCAGAAAAACAAAAGCACTGGACAGGTAGACTAGATGATAAATGTAAGGAGATCTTCAGCATGAGATGTATTTCATGCTTTCTCTCACATTTTCAAATCAATAGGTGAGCTACTTGGGCTCCTCTTCTTACGACTGTGAAAATCTTAGACTTGAAGTGTAATGGCCAATGAGAAGCTATTTTATTTTAAAAGAATTGTTTCTGCAGAAATGGGGAGTGAGTTTAGGGCCTTGTGCATGCTAGGAAAACACTGCGACTGAGTTGTCCCCCCAGACAGCTTTATTTTTAAAAGAGAAGCCTCAAGTGAAATAACAGTGCATTACCTAAATGATGGCACTGCTTCCTCATCAGGTGTAAATTCCCTGGTAAGTGGGGCAGTGACTGGCATGATCCACAGGATTCTTAAGGGCCTGACATCACTCTTCTTTTTGGGGGGTGGGGGGTATACTGGGGATTGAACTCTCGACCTTGTGCTTGCGCCACTGAGCTAAATCCCTGGCTGATGTAACTCTTGGCCCACAGTAAAAAAAAAAAAAAGAGCTTCAGTCAGCAATGTATTAAATACTGTCGTGTGCTGATCACTCTGTTAACATCTATGTTACACAGAGTAGATTCCCTTTGTGGGGGCATTTACTACTACATTACAAATAAACACATACATGTACTTAACAATAATAAAAACGTGGCATGTCCAAGGACCAAAGGAACTGCAAGGTGCTAAAGACGTTTGGTTGCAGCGGTTATCATGGTTAGTTTATTCTTCACTTTAAACTAAACAAAGTAAACAATGCCAACTATCAACTTTACTCAAGATTACTTTATACCTAATTCTCACTTAAAGCTAACTGCCTTGGGATGCCTGCAGTGACCACTGCGGTTATAACTATTTCTGTAGATGCCCTTCAAACCACATCCAGGACTATGACCCACCTAGCCAAACACCTTTTCTCATTACATCCATGACTCTACCTACATCTAGCTAAATGCCTTTTCTTTTATTCATACTCAGCAGTCTAAAAAGAAGATGAAGAATAACAAAGACTTGGCTACATACCTTTAAAACTCAAATTAAAATTGGTTTAAAGTCATTTGCAAACTTTCTAAGGCTAACTTAAACACACAGTAGTCTTTTCTCGTTAAAAGTCTCTTTTTCACACTTTATTTCTTAGAAGGCTAAAAAGTGGAAATTACTCAGGATCTTACACATCTAATGTGACCATCCTCACACAGCAGCTCTCTGAGAGGTTTGTCAACAGACTCACAAAGACAGGAGGTCTTCAATCAGCTCACTGGGTCAGGTATGGCTACTTGGTATGATTGCTACCCTCTAAGACTAAATGATCCACATGTACAACAAATGTCTAGGATATTTTCAAGTATTAACATTACATCGCTTTAGGAAACATACATATACATGAAATGTGCTGCCCAAAGAGGAATTCCTGCATTTCTCAGCAGGGCAGCGGTGACTTTTTTCTGCACCCCCATCAAGTGTTAGAAGAGAATTTAGTACACAACTTGTGAGTAGCCACATGGAACCTAAACAAGTCAAAACATACTGCAAGTAAAGGCTCAACTTTGAATAGTGAGTAAAAGAAAAATTCCTTGGTCAGTGCCTTTGTAAGCAGTTCAGATACATGAACAGGGGCCCTCTGCAGAATTCCAATCAGAATTCCAACAGGAGAAGCAGGTAAGGCTGGAGGATGGGTGCTTGCCAGGATGATTCTGTGGACCACTGGTCAGCAGAGCACTCTCCCCGTTCAGCAGGGAGAAAGGCAGAGAGAGAGGAACACAACTAACACATTGACCTCCCAATTTGGCTGCAAACAGACTAGCTTTTGTTCTCGCCTGCTCCGACCACCAGCCTGGCAGATTACTGACAGGCACTGTAGGAGCCCCCTCTGTGCCCCAAGCCATCAGCTGTTTGCCCACCTCAACAGAAGCTTTATTATTGCATAGGCCAGCAGGCTGCCAAGAAAGGCAAACCATGTAAGTATGGAAAAGATAAACAAACGCAGCTCTAATAATCTCAACAGTATTGTGGTCATGAAGGCAAGAGACACTGAGGTTCCAGTTTGTAAAATGTGAGTACACTTGCAGTTCTAAGGATTTGCGTGTTTCTTAGAGGAAGGAAGGCCAGGAGGAGGAGAGAGGGAAGGTGTGCTCTCAAAAGTTCATCTGGTTCTAAAAGTTGGTACTTATGGCAGAAAAGATGTTTGTCCCCAGTGTGAAGGGAGGTTTGCAGATGAAGACAGAAGTCAAGTTATGGCCATTCTTAGGGCAGGAAATGAGAAGTGCCCTGTCCTCTAAAAGCAGGCCATGCTCAGAGGAGTCCTGGGCATTGGCCTGCACCGCTGCTTATTCAACACTGCTATCAGCAGGAAGGCAAGAAGCAGAGTAGCAGACTACAAAGGAACACAGGCATGAAAGTCTTGGGTACATTAGAGACTTCTTAAAAGGAAAGGAAGGTCACATAAAGAGATCAAGAGTGAAAAGAAAAACACCAGACTCACTGTGATAATACAGAAGCTAAACGTCATATGGAACTACTTACTTGCAATCAAATTCAACATTTCATTTTTAAAAAGTGGGATAGCCATCTTTCAGTAGGATTCGACTAAAGGTTTTGTTACTACTGAATGGCAAAAATGGCAATACCTTTTGGCTCTTTTTGCTTCATAAATGAAAATGCTCCAGGCTACGCAGGCCTTGTGTATAAATGCCAACAGCCTTACCAGTGAGCTGCAATACTGGCTCTTCCACATGAATGAGCAAGCTTTCCAGGCTGTTTATCTGATGATGAGTGTCACCAAGCTTAACCACGCACATGCAGATTTCCCTCTTCCCTAGTGGATTCTGTATCCTGTGGCAACTGGCTTCCAGATGGGAACTGCAGCCACAGAGCCTGGTGGATGTGGATAAGGGAGAGGGGAGAAAGCAAGGTTGCCAAATGACAGTGCAGCTGGCTCCAAACTCTAGTGTGGACTGGGAACCTTAGCAATGAAGCAAAGTTTGCGATTATCAGACGGATTGAACTCATCCCTGAGCCAAAGAGTAAGAGTGCTGGGTAGCCAATTCAATTGCTGCCATCTACTTTTGTATTTTACAAGGTAATTAATAGGATAATTACTTTCTTTTTCATCCTGGTGGAAACTGTTTTCAGAACTGTTAGTCTCAGAACAATTATTAGTCGCCGCCACTACCATGAATAAAATAACAATCAGTATTGCAGATTAAACGTTTTGTTAAGACCCCTGATTCTTACTCTTCAAGAGAAATTCCAGTTAATTTTAATTTTCAATAAACATATTTAGAGCCTGCAGGAAATAAATGCACAAAGTACAAGGACTCCCAACCCCAACCTAAGATCATTCAGTCTGTTTGAATATTTCCAATGAATCTATTATCTACCTCACAATGTAGATGAAAATGT